ACAAAGATAATTAATGAAATGAAATTTACTCTCATTTAATCAAAAGGTACATCGGCTGAATGAATTATTTCCACTGAAAAATATTGGTAACAGTTTACAATCCGCCTCTAACATTGGATGTCTTTTGTATATCTTTTTTTGCGGCAGCGAAAACAACTTGGAAAAAAACTGTCTTATCATAAATTATTGTAATGTAGCTAACAATTTATTTATTTATTTATTTATTTCTATTACAAAAAAGAAAACATCATGACATTGCGATAAAACAGTTATAGTATACGAAACTCGTTAGTTACGAGGATATAACACTGGCCGGGCGACATCTCGTAATGTTTCTGCAAAAAATTGTCCCGGCCTAACGGCCTCGCCATTTTTAGCAGAAACATACCTTGATGTCGCCCCAGCCAGTGTTATATCCTCGTAACTAACTCGTTTCATGTACTGTAACTATGTCAAGTTGTGTATTTCACGGGAGGAAAAAATGTATTTGATTACTAGATATTTGGATTTGTTAGTTATAAGAAATAATATTATCTGAGAATTGTTACAAACAATAAACAATTGTTGACAGATGTGTAAACATTGAAAAAGCTACAAGGAACATAGAAAACATGTAATTTTTGAAAGTCTATCTTACGAACGCTGGGTTGTTTACTCTTCGGGCTAGTGACTGTCATTGCTTTTCAAATTGCATTAGGCAGTTATTGCTCGATGGATACTTAAATTTGCCCAAATGTCATCAGGGGCAGTTTTGCATGTGGAAGGGAGTGTATTTTTCAGACTGTAAAAATGAAATGAAAAAATTAAAGACAATATTTGATGATTGGTAATTTGAATGAATAAAATTTTATTTTTTTATTACATTTGAAATTAAAGTTATTCGCCAGTTTCAGCTTTGCAAAAATAAACTTGGTATCACATGGGGAAAAATCTCTAAAACGTAGTCTGTCATTGAAAAGTGAACTTATATTTGATAACTTGCACTGCGAAATTATCTAATATAATTTTCAAGGATAAATCATTAATCCACTCAAAAGCATAAAATAGAAATAATTAATGATGCTATGATCATCCTGATCATTAAAAAGCTTACGAAACAATGATATTTCTTTTTCTTTTTTTGTCTGTGGTCCCTCTCGGAATTTCCGAGTACAAAGCTTCCATGACACTTAGATCACTATAATCAATTAACAAAACTCAGACATATTTCGAACCTTTGTCAAATGATTTGTAATCGCCTATCACACCGAATCCGTGTAATTACTAAGTCATGTAATTAGAGAATGTAAGGCGAGAAAATAAGATGTGCGTCACTTAAAATAGTCATGAATCTATATAATCCATTAATCTCAAGTTGTATATTATACAAAATCATTAAAACCTAACTCGCACAATTGAGTTAAATTATTTAGCCGGTGACGGGACGGAACTTATCATATTTCAAACTTTCAATATCTTTGCCATACACTAAATGCAAAATATAAAGTATATACATATAAGATTCAATATATCATTTTATTACAGGACCATATCTTATTACAGGTCCATGATATTCGTGTTCAAATTTGGAACTGTCTGGTTTTGTTCTTTTTTTGTATTTGTCAAGCTTTTATAAAACTTTTAAAAAGTTGCCTTGCAGTAAAAACTGCATTGTCTACAGACTTTGTCATTTCTGTATTATTACATGGTTTTCACTATAAATATATTGCATGCAACCTTGTTAGTTTCTGTTTTGAAACATGTAGGAAATATCGATCGAAACAGTTTCACGAAATATACTAAATTAAACAATACAATAAAAGAGCGGATGTTTTATTAGCAGTTATTATGATGTAAAGATACATATTTTTACACGTTCGTCTTTGATTGTAAAACCAGCCTAATATTTGCCATCATAATATAAATAAGTAGGTACCATTTGTTGAGTGTGGCATATAATCAAATAAAGATAAAATCTCAAGAGTCTTAATTACGTAATTTAAACATAAATATTTCTTTTAATAAAGATATATACAAACTTGTTTGTATTTCATACATATGATCTGATGATTATTTCTATGAAAGTGAAATTTGTGGTTAAGTATCTAAACAAAAACTTTATCATTTGGTATCTTAACAACAATGTTGCCGTTTGGTATCTGCATAACAACTTTGCCATTTGGTATCTGAATAATAACTTTGCAATTTGGTATCTGAATAACAACTTTGCCATTTGGTATCTGAATAATAACTTTGCCATTTGGTATCTGCATAACAACTTTGCCGTTAACTTTGGCATCTAAACAACAACTGCCATTTGGTATCTGCATAACAACTATGCCATTTGGTATCAAAACAACAACTTTGTCATTTGGTATCTGAATAACAACTTTGCAATTTGGTATTTGAATAACAACTTTGCAATTTGGTATCTAAATAACAATTTTGTTATTTGGTATCTAAATAACAACTTTGCTATTTGGCATATAAACAACAACTTTGCCATTTGGTATCTAAATAACAACTTTGCAATTTGGTATCTAAATAACAACTTTGCTATTTGGTATCTAAACAACAACTTTGCCGTTTGGCATATAAACAACAACTTTGCCGTTGGTATCTGCATAACAGCTATATCATTTGATATCTTAACAACCACACATTGCCATTTTGTATCTTAACAAAATCTCTGCAGTTTGGTATCTAAATAACAGCTCTATATAACAACTTTGTCGTGACGTTGATAACTTTCGGTTAAAATGTCTCTCGTGAGTTAGGCTTTTCATTTTAAGCATGTCACCTTTCAGAACTAACAATATAAAATGCAGAAAAAATATAGTGCAAATTTATAACATCCAAATATATGTTCTTTACTTAGCATTATTAAACTGTACTGGCTGTATGTATGGGAGAGATAAGTTGTTGTATCTAAAATATTGATATTAAATGAGAAAACAGTTGAGAATATTGAATATTTGATTGTTCTGATAAAGAAGATTGCACTGTTTTATCACATGTTCCTTGAGGGAAATTATTTATGTTTTATCAAGCAAATAAGATTTTGATACCTTTATGATATTTGGATCCTTAAATAGAAATTTTGTTTTATGTCAAGTGTTGGGCGATTTTGAAAAATTCATGTGCACCTTATTTAATAAAAACAACTACAGGCATAACAAGTTAATATATTGTTTTAATTAAAAGTATGTAGAATACTTCCTGCTCTTGTATTAACAAACGTACTGTAATGTCTGTAATTTTACGCAACTATCAGCATACAATAATGTAATGAGAAAGATGAGATAAAATGACATTGTAATTTCCGTTATCAAATGAAATGTCTGTATCACAACGGTCATAATAATCAATATGTTGTTAAACAGTTAAAATATTTCTCACGACAGATGTGAACGACAGAGCGGCAATTCCATCAATGGTAATTCATTTCCAATCTAATTTAGCGGCAATACATCCCAGATGTATAAGTTTGGTTTTAACCATAACTATAAATCATTATTTACCGATTTATCAAGTTTTCATATTCAACCTGACAAAATAAAATGATTTATTGTCGGCTATTGATTTATGTCTGGCTGTACAATATTTGAAGTTGATCATCTGAATAAAATAGTTTATGTACATAGGAGTACTTTTTATATCAACGAAAACAAAATTTTTACATTAATAGAGTCGAGAAACCTTTTTTCATTCTTATAGGAAAAATATGCTGAGGAAAAAAGATTAATTGTTATTTTGAAAACATGATACATATTTTAGATGTTGATGTTGCACTCATTCAACAAATGGTACATATTTTTGTTGCAATTGCCTCAAGGCAAGTATTAAAAGGGCTCAAATAAAAACAACAGAACACACGAAATGGGATTAATTTGAGTCAATTACGGCACCTGATACAGTATATATTATACTAAGAATGTGAACACGTGCAGAACAAAAGAGAAAAACAAGGTAAAGATACAACACAAAACAAGTTCTGATCCACGTTGTACATATACGTCATTATAATGCATATCTAACGTGTGGAAGAAAACACGAACATTTTATAAAAAAAAAAAACGTAAACAGAACCAAATATAATACTTGATATTTGTTCTGCCATCAGAAAATACTTTTTTATTTCGCAATCATAATATTATTGTTAATGTGATCTTTTTTTGTATGTTTTTTTTTCAATTATAGATAAATAGCACTTGACTTAAAACACCACGTGAATCAATGAAAAAATATATGATATATCAATTTTGACAGAGTTATTAATAAACAGAAGGAATTGTTTTATCTGAAATTTGCTAATTTTGAATAAATAAATTATGTATTTTGCTAAACTTTTGAAGGGACAATTGAATGAATAGTTCAACATAAGAAAATATTACTGTATTTATTGTAAATAATTAACTGCGAATTAATGCATGCTGATATATATCAGAAAAGTTTATTATGGTTTAATATCTACCTGTCAGAAAAAAGTGATAACATATTTCTGAAGGCATATGTAAGTTAGCGGAAACATACATACTATGTTTACATGTTTGATATAAACTTCCCATCATATTACATCCAATAGTTTTAGTGTTTTTAAATGTAGATATATTATTTAAAATTTATGCATTAAACATTTTTTCTAAAATCCTTTTAAAATGAGTGTTTTTGTCATTACAGTGATTAAAAAAGATTAAAGTTTACTAGGTTTTGTATCATCATCATCAATTATACTCGTATACTACCAGAAATTTTACCACGTGGATTTTATTGTCTTGATATAGAGGTTTGACTGTTAACTGTTACTTTGATAAAATTGTCAGTGAAGTAAAAATAAAACAAGTAAATAATTATCTCAAATTTGTTCTATTTTGGATATTTTAAAGTGTTAGAGCTTTCGTGTTAGTAGTATTATATGTAGTATTCTGCCTCAACTTGACTCAACAATCATATTTAAGGCATCTATAAAAAAAAATGAAAAAAACCTACTGTCACAAATATTAGAAACGAATGTTACTTACCCCAAGTATTGAACCAATTTGAGAACTAAGATCTTGTAATTCTTGACGGCCATTGATAAAATAAATCGTTTTGTTCGAAGATTTCGCCAATGCATTTGCTTGCTCAATAATTTCCACACGTTTGTCAAATTCATGCAGCTCGAGGAACCAGATAGCTGGTACAGACGTCAACAGATAAATAAATACACTTGGACAAAACCTGAAAAGAAAAAGAAAAATTGTTCTCCTACATGATCATTGTTAAAATTGAAATATTGCAAATCTGCGTACTTTTGCATTTTCATCACAAATCGATTGAAATAATTTTATATGATAATAATCATATACACTCATAATAAATATCCTCTTTTAATTTATAAAACAATTTTGTATCCGAACTTTCTTTCTGGAAATTTCTTTGCTATTTCAGGACAATAACTTTCAGTAGATAAATACCACAGACCTATGATTCATGTCACAAATAAGGAAAGTCAAAGTCATTATTACTTTTATGATATAAAATAAGAATGTGCGCTCAATTAGGAAGTGGTTAAGTCATCGGCAGAAAGCATCATAATCACTCATTATATGTTCATTAAACTTTCTATGTAAATTATTTTTGAATAAGCAATAAAAATAAGTATTAGGAGAAGAAGAAGAAGAAGAAGAAGAAGAAGAAGAAAGACATTACATTTTATTTGTTCATAATACTTTAAAGATTAATGTTATATTTTTGTCTCACCATTTCCATTCCTTTCCTTGTCTTTTGACCAACGTAATCAAAGCTTCCAATAAGAGAAGAGCCAGCGTTCCTGATAGATACCAGAATTTGTTGTCATTTGTGACGTCAGCAAGTCGCCATATTGAGACGACACCATGCGAAGCGAACAACAAACGAACCGATAAGGCACGTGCAACTGATATATGACCCATCAATCATCACCTCTCTATTAAACAAATAACAATATTGTATGAAGTAATTATATCAGTATATTTAATATCATAAAGTTGATCTTTTTATCCTGTACATTTCGTTACATAAAAAGGATACATTTAATATCCTGAAAATTTGACATTATGCGATCTTTATGACGTATTTAGCATATAAACTAAAAATAGAAACGTTTACACAAATAATTTGACTACAACATCATAATATGGAAAAGACAATTAATTCAAAAATAGATATTTATGTCTAAAATTTTAAAAGGTATTTCTTAAACGATGATAAAATATGTAAAAATATATACCGGATTTAACGATAAAAGGATTTTCAAGACAATGGTATTTTCAAATATTTATCATACTTCGATCGAAATCGGAAAGGCATCGCTTCATTATTTTTCCACTTGGCGTACGTATATTTTGTTTCCGTTTCAACGTTTCAATAACTGTATTGTATTGTAATATTCAAAACGGATTTTCTGTACGTTTACACGTTTCATGTTTAAGAGATAGCTTTTGATTAAAAGACTTGAAAATTTGGTACTTTAAAATGTGATAATATAATTATTTGATTATTTATATTTTAAATTACCTTAACAACTAATGATTTGTGTTTTATTCGGATGAACATTAACACAAAAATAAAGTTCCCTTTATTCTATTTAAGCAAAATCACTGAAGACATTTTCAGTAAAACTGAACCAAAATATCCTTAACTCCTCGCTGAACTGCTTTTTTTATCTCCGTCTTTTTCTTATATCCGTGTTTTTTATCTCCGTCTTTTTTATATCCGTCTTTTTCTAATTTTCATTCAACAGTTATCACCACATGTATGCCAATGAAATGGAATATTTGATCTTACAACGCTATCATCATTTTAACAATAAAACAGATGCACAAAAATGTTCCTCAATTTGATAAACAGAATGTTTTATTGAACCACTATCTCTCATTCCATTTATCGATAAGGTGCTACAAGTAATAACATTTAATCAAAGTAAGTCTTGCACAACAAGTTTTCAGTCGATCACAATTCTGTTTAATGAAAATGGAATATTGGGCATAAAGTTGTACAGACGCCCACAATATAGCAGTAACACTCGTATTGATCTGTTATTCTCACATGTAAACATTCTAGTCATTCCATTGTCTGTAGCAAGATTAAAATCACTGTCATATATCGTAACAAAACTCTAGTTTCGTTTAATTTTGATTTTAACTCTAATGTATTGAATTATATATGTATATTCTATTTTAGTCCCTCGACAAACAATTAGCAAATTAAATAACTCACATGTTATTCACCAAACAATTTAAGGTCAGTTCCTTTTTGAAACTTCTCTAAATTTAAGTTTGCTCTAAATGTAAGTTTGATGTACCGAAATTTCACCATTTAAATCTTCTTTTATATGACCATTTAATGATTGTGTAATCGTTATAGAAAATATTCAATTTCAAAGTAAATATAAATAAAATCAAAGATGATAAGCTGGTAATGGTTTTATAATGGTTATCAAATTTTGCCTGAAGCCAAACAGATATTCCGGTTAATCCCACTCATATTGGTCATGCAGTAAATGTCTACATCAAACATCTCCAAACAACATTCTATTTCATTATTTTACTTTGCACTCATAATAAAACGTATAAAAATGAAAGAGGAACATCAAAAGCGTTATTTGTGGGTACAGGTTATAGAAAATAATAAATGGATTAACATGCATTAATAGGAGTTATGAAGGTAAGCATTTTTAAACCATGCATTTGCATGGAAACACACAAAACAATATTTTTTGTGGAAATATTTTGTACGAAAGAATTTGAAACTGAATGATATTTATACGTTACAATGTAAACATTTGCTGAAATGTCTTATTTGATGAAATGTTAATTATTTACAGATGTTGTGAATATCTAAAACATGACAATCAAAAAATTTACTAAATTCTTTGTTTATTACGCCACTTAGTTTGTATCAATGTAGTTAATATTCCTTTCAGTACCTTGTTAATATATTAAACTTTATCAATTATTATCTTCAAATTAGTCGTAATGAAGATAAAAAGTAACATTAAAAATAACATAGAAAATAGCTCACTACATTGCATTTGTAACATAGAACATGTATATAGAAAGTTCCTTATTATTTTGCATTTGTTACATAGTAAATATACATGGAAAATATACATAACGTTTGTTGGGGGATTATTGACCTGCTATTGAAGTGATAGAAAATTATATGAAGTGTAATCTATTGCTAGACAATAACATGTTGTGTCGACCTCAATGACAAAAAGAAAGATACCACGTGACTATAAACTGCACTTAGATGATTGGTTTTGTTGTCATCGTGTTTCATCTAATAGTAAACCATTCAATTATTAGTGCTGGGTTTTAGAAACTCTAGACTTTTTTTTGCAACATATTTAGCATCGATGTAATAGGTAATGCTTCTAATTCTGTGTTGTTAAAAGAAGCGTTCGACATGTTTTGAAGAAATCATCGACAACAATGCTTTTATGACCATATGACAAAGATGAAACTCAACAATTTAAGAAATAACGTCTAAACATGTTATCAATATACACGTGCAAGGAAAAATAAATTTTAATATCATGTAGTTTGTATTAGTAAGTAGTATATGTTGTTGTAATTGAAGTTGTCATTATTACGCTAAGATTTGAAAATTTGAAACGTGAGAACTTAAACGTTTACATTTTTAATACTACATAAGTGTATAACGTCTACTCTAGTTAACTCATAAAATTCGAACTACCTAGACTGGGATTTTAGATCACTATATATCATGACAACTAGCCACAGAAAACTAGCCACATAAGATTTTGTGATAATAGAAGTTATAATAAGTAACTATTTATCATATCCGATATTTGACCAGTACAATCTAAGACGGTTTCGCATATTGTAATATAGTATATATAAGTTAATGTCATATTTAAAGTTCACATAATGAAATAAATACGTATAAGGTAAAACTGTGTTCGCCATTCATTTGAATTATATAAAATATGTATGACAAATTAACCTGCAATGCAACAAAAAGAAAACAAATAAATCAAGGGAGGAAATACGATGTATTGTTATTTTCCTTTACCTTTGATTATAATTGTACTTTACAGTTGGGTGTTTCTATGATTTAAACATTTAAGAAAATTATAAAGCTTATATTTTACAAACATATAATTCTATGCTGACTCTATAAATTAGACACATAACTAGTATCTGGGCTACACATCGTTATCATAATTACGTAACATGGGAATAGTGAGAGATGTTTTAAAATCTTATGTATCTATTTGTATATCTGATAAAGGGACTTATAAATACTCGCATGAAAGACACCTGTGCGCATTAACAGTTTTCAATTGGAGGAAAAAACAACATTTCACAAGAATAAATGTGCAAAAGTAACAAAGTGTTAAATTGAAGAAATGATTCACTCACTTCTGCGGGTGGTTATTCTCCGTAAGTTGTTTTTACATATATTTACATGACTGTATTTTATTGTTGGTCAATATTTCTATATCAAATCACGTGTTGATTAACTATGTGAACAAAGTACGAAAGACCGATAGGGAAATTTCAACTTCGTGAATTCCCGATTTCATCTTCATGAATTCACGATTTCATCTCCATTAATTCCCGATTTCAACTTCGTGAATTCACGATTTCAACTTCACGATTTCCACTTTATGAAGTTGAAATCGTGAATTCGTGAAGTTGAAAGCGTGAATTTATGAAGTTGAATTCATGAAGTTGAAATCGTGATTTCGTGAAGTTGAAATCGTGAATTCACCAAGTTTAAGTCCTGAATACATGAAGTTGAAATCGTGAATTCATGAAGCTAAAATCGTGAACTCGTGAAGTTGAAATCGTGAATTCACGAAGTAGAATTTGTGAAGTTGAAATCTTGAATTCATGAAGTTGAAATCACGAATTCTTGAAGTTGAAATCGTGAATTCATTATGTTGAACTCGTGAATTCGTCAAATTGACATCGGGAATCCATGAAGCTGAAATCGTGAATTCGTGAATTCCGTATGTTGAAAACGGGAATTCAGGAAGTTAAAATTGTGAATTCATGAAGATGAAATCGTGACTTCGTGAATTCCGTATGTTGAAAACGGGAATTCAGGAAGTTAAAATTGTGAATTCATGAAGATGAAATCGTGAATTCGTGAATTCCGTATGTTGAAAACGGGAATTCAGGAAGTTAAAATTGTGAATTCATGAAGACGAAATCGAGAATTCATGAAGTTGAAATGGCCCTACCGGTCTTTCGTATAACAGAGATTGATCTGATAATAAATTAACGTGAATACATACTCTTTTTTTTTCAGTACAATATTCTATTTGTTGAGGTAAAGAAAACCGCGGACACATTTTCTTCTTCTTCTTCTTGTATAAATGTACTTTTTTAATCTGCATTTCACTTCGTAAAAAGAAGTTTATCGGTTACAATCATCTTTTATTCATGTAAAATGTTTCATGTCGCTGTAGTACAATGAATACATTCTAAGCTTTTAAAGGCAATTACATGTTTGTATAAATTATAATTATAAATAATTTGGCAAGGTTTATGTTTCATTTTGAACAAAGTATTAGGTGTAAGAACTTTAACATTATATAATGAATAAAATATAAGGAGATGCACCATTGTGTACGAGTAGATAGTAACAATATTTTTGTTTATACATAATTTTACTTGTACAATATTTTACTGTATGTAAATGTATTGATATGTATGTGTTGTGTTGGGCTAGATGTCTTGTATCAATAAACATTATATCAATGTATTTCTCACTTTTTATCTTTTAAGTTTTATCAATATTTGTACAATCTGTGATTAGTTAATATTTTGTATCATAAAAAATTCTTTGAAAATTAACATCGTTATCTTTTGTCGTTTTGGGCGTCCTTTAGGGATTCCGTTTTTCCCTATTTTCATACTTTCTGATTGCAGTGAGTTTACATGAAGGATGTCACGTGAAGGCGGACTCGTGTTCCTGTCCTAACCCACCCACGTCAAGCACGTCAGGGTAAATGTTTATGTTCATTAGATTTCATTCATTCATTCATTCATTCATTCATTCATTCATTCACTCATTCATTCATTCATTCATTCATTCATTCATTCATTTACTCATTCATTCATTCATTCATTCACTCATTCATTCATTCATTCATTCATTCATTCATTCATTCATTCATTCATTCATTCATTCATTCACTCATTCATTCATTCATTCACTCATTCATTCATTCATTCATTCATTTATTCATGCTATGGGGGTTTAGAACAATATCGACTTGCAATGATATTGATTTGTTTAATTTTGCATTTGTGTTGATGTAAAGAACAATTTATTGTGAATTTACATTGAAAGTAACTGATTCATATAACATAAACCGTGTTTTCTAAAATAATACAGCATAGTTTTATATAAACTAACACATATGTATACAAGATTTACACACACACACGGAAATTTATTCGTTTATAATATAGTCTGATTTTATTGACTTATCAATTATTAATACATTATAGCAATCATTTAAATATTCGATCCCATTTCGGTTCTGTCCGTAGAGTTTACGAGAATTATTATCTAGTATATAAATAATCTTTGGAAAAGTCACACTAGCTTAATGTATTGTATCTCGTCAAATCCGCAATAGCACAGTCGGTCAATTAAACAAATATCGATTCATACTTTTGCCCTTTTTTTTGCCTATTATTTCTTTATTTTGAAGTATATTTTAATGAAAATAGCCAAGTGCTTGCAAAATTGTCTACACGAATATGAAACAACTAAGAAACTGCACCAATTTGTCTCGTTGTATTTTACGGCACTGAAATGACACATTATATTATTTTTAATTCGAATGAATTTTAAATATTAATTCTTAAACCATATTTAAAAAGAGTATAGACTTTACCAATATAAGTGCTGAACATATTACAAAAAAGACCATAAAACAACAACAAAAACAACTAAAACAATATATATAATCAAAATGCAATTTACAGGTTAATAAAATCAAACAATATTTTCTCAATCATTGTCAATAATCTTCTTGTTTTCAACAATAGGAAAAAACGTATACATGTTTTGCCGAGAAAACAGATATGCGGATAGCTACATTTATAGATGGTAACATGATATTTAAAAGAGTGCATTTTAAAGAATAGTGATATTGTAAATCACATTAAAAAGTAAATAATTAACCTACTATCAATAAGTTTATACAGAATTTATTTTAGTTCGATTGTGTAAGAAGCTATAAGCTTACAAACATTCTCTCGAATTATTTCCTGGAACCAATCAGTACTGAGCAATGAATATAAAGTTTCTTGTTCAAGGCTACAATTACTTGCCTTTGACGGAGTTTGAACTCATGCGGTTAGAGATCCTCAGATAGATGTGTTAACCACTCGGCCATGCCGTCACTTCTATACTATAAATTAATAATTCAGTTCTATGTAATGATACGTCTTGATTTATATTGTAATATTTTTAAGTATATTCTCCGAGAGATGAGAATGTAATACATTACATTTATGATGTACTAGGTTCACATCAGTAGATTATCTACAACAGTATAATGACGTCGACGTCATTAATCCAGGACGTGGAATGTACCATATGGTGGAAGCTAATTCGTCTAACTTCAAGCCACTAAATGCAAGTATTCTATCTTCTTTTCATATAAATCGAAATTTATTTTAAAAACAAAACATATGGTTAGCACTGCCTGTTTTCTTGTTATCTTTGCTTATTCTGATTAAGTATGTACTGTACAATAAGCTTAATATCTTGTTCAAATATTAACATGTTAAAATGTAATGATTCTCAGTAAAATTTTCCTAAATAAGTTCACGAGGCAACATGTTAAATAAAATCTTATTTTTAATAAAGTTGTTTTGAACCTGTCTTTCAAATATTATAAGATGTTTTGTCCTTGCTTCCATCCTGTCATGTTAATCTAATGTTTCACAAATCTTGTAACGTAAAAAACTACTTTCTACATTTATATTTTGTTATAACATGTATATGCCTTTTTAAAGGCAGATGTGTTTATCATAAACATCTTTGTATATCTACTAAACAATAATATTGTAAAATATAATGTTGTGCTGTTTCTCATTATTTAGAGCAACTCATTAAATAGCAAACTCAACATAGTCCTGCGTCTCTACTACCTTGATAGCTACGTCACTGATGACATGCACGGTGACTTTACAACTAAAGTAAAGAACGACTTGGCGTTTGCGCAGTCACATGGATGGACTGTTGTCCTGCGCTTTGCTTATATAAAACAATGCCCGTTTGTAAGTGAAATGTTAAATGTCGTTCAGAAATCTCAAAAACTATCGTAGAAAAAAATGAATGTTAATCTTACAAAGTAGCTTATTCGAGATATGTCTGTCGTCGGCATCATTCTACATTTGAGTGATGTATATCGCACTAAGTATGATAGTTTTGCATTTAAAACAGTAAGTGAGGTCATTGTTTAATTAAACAAAACATTTGTTGTCTTAGTTATAACATAACTAACTTATGCTTAAAACAAAGGTTATGAAAGATGCTATCTTTTAAAGATAATAAGATTGAATTTCTAAGCAATACTTCGTTGCATAAAACAATGAGAACTGTTGTAAGAAAAATATATCTAGAGAGAAAAGTCCTGACTACAGAACATTATGTTTGATTTTATGTCTCCAGAATGACGCAACTCTTGCCCAGATGTTACGACATATACAAAAACTCAACGAATATAATGTGTTTAAAGATTACAGTGTGGTCATTGCAGCCATACAGGCCGGCTTTATTGGACGATATGGTAGGCACTATATTTTTACACAATCTTTCTTACATAAATAGCATCAATATTTTAGCTATAATGTACATTATGGAGTCTTGCTCATTTTTGATATATAATTTTAAATGATAATTTAGAATAATACAAAAAAAACTCTTGATTAAGGTAACATTTTTATCGATGTTTTATCGTTGTAGTTTACTTTATATGTGAATTATATAGGTTATGTTGGTATGAAAGTTAAATAATACGACTATATATCTTAAGACAAATGGAGCATCTCTGAATGCCCCGTTCTCCCTGTTTTATCTGGTTGAGGTTTGTACAATATCTACTAGTAAATAAATACAATGTTCAGTTACGATATTCATACACGTAACATATAGCAACATACCTGTAGTTTACTTGTAAAGTCAGTATACAGAAACATTTGTCAAGTCGCTTGTCAAGTATAAAATTTAAACATGGTTTATATTTAGTCAATAAAAAAAATATATTATATAAAATAGGGGAATGGCACTATTGGGATGAACACAATCCTTGTCCAAATAGAGACTTTGGCGAGGCTAATGGGTGTAGCGACACGTTCGGACTTAACGACACTCAGTGGAGGGCAAGGAGACAAATAATTGATGCCCTCCTCAATGCCAGTCCTAAATCTGTGTAAGTTACATTTTTACTATGAAGTTTGCTCGATTCATGTAAATGACCAACCGCACTTCCATTTTCATACATTCAGTCTTTCGTTTTAAGTTTTACAATTTCTGTCATTTTCATACATTAAGTTTTTAGTTTAAAGTTTTTCAATTGCTGTCATTTTCACACATTAAGTTTTTCGTTTAAAGTCTTACAATTGCTGTCATTTTCATGCATTAAGTTTGTGTTTAAAGTTTTACAATTTCTGTCATTTTGATACATTAAGATTTTTGTTTAATTTTTTTGATTTTTATCATTTTGATACATTAAGTTTTTTGTTTAAAGTTTTACAATTTCTGTCATTTTCATACATTACGTTTTTCGTTTAAGTTTTACAATTTCTGTCATTTTCATACATTCAGTTTTTCGTTTAAAGTTTAACATATTCTGTCATTTTCATCCATTAAGTTTTTCGTTTAAAGTTTTACAATTGCTGTCATTTTCTTTCATTAAGTTTCTCGTTTAAAGTTTTACAATTTCTGTCATTTTGATACATTAAGTTTTTCGTTTAAAGTTTTACAATTTCTGTCTTTTTCATACATTACGTTTTTCGTTTAAAGTTTTACAATTTCTGCCATTTTCATCCATTACGTTTTTCGTTTAAAGTTTTACAATTTCTGCCATTTTCATACATTACGTTTTTGGTTTAAAGTTTTACAATTTCTGCCATTTTCATACATTACGTTTTTCGTTTAAAGTTTTACAATTTCTGTCATTTTCATACATTCAGTCTAAACAAATTTATAATCGCTGCAATTTTCATATATTAGGTTATTTGTTTTAAGTTCTGTGTCATTTTCATATATTAAGTTGTCTATTATATACATGTATTTTACTATGCAACAATTATGAATAATCCGCACGACCCACGGACATGTCTATAAATTTTAGTCTCAATATATCGGTAAATTTATATTTATAAGAAAATTAAGGCGATCTTTTTATGAGTAGTTTATTTCATATAACAATATAAACACTTTTACAATCAATTATTGGTCATTCACTTTGTTGATATCTTGTAATATATTACTTATTCAACACAACTTGCTAACGAATGAGCATAACGTCACTTTAATAAAAACAATCTGATATGTGAAGCTGTGCTATAAAAGGAAATCCTAGTTTAAGTTTTTTATACTATTTTCAGTTATGTATTGAAAGGAAACAATAACCACAGTTCTTATGTTTTAAGCAATACATAGAATCCTTAAAGATAGAATCATGGCGCTTAAATTCAATCAGACAAACTTATATGTTATTAAACATGACAGCTTCATTTTTATATTTGCTTAAATAATTGATGAATTAAAATAATTGAAAGATTTTCTCCCTTAATTGCTTATATATTAAATGCTCACTCTTTAGAATAAAGAATAGTTATTAGATTATGTAACAGCAGTAATAAAGTATTGTAAAAGTGTTAAATGTAGCCAGACGTACACTAATTAGTCGCTATTATCTAATAGCAGATTACAGGACAATATTATAATGTAGACTGACAGGCAGGTTTGTTATTTAGATTGACCATCCTAATATAAAATTACATTAGATATTCAAACAGTTCATAAACTGAGTATAATGTTGTCAGATAAAACAAATATTTCTGTTTCACAACAACAGTTTATTTTATCTACAAATACTATGACACTGTAAAAATATGTATCTGGTCACGTATTTATGTTTATTTTATAGAGATATCCTAGTGCGAGTACCATTTTACAAATATCACGAGTTTGGAAAAAATCCGACAACGTTGGATGAAGACAGAGCAGAAACGGATGCCTCTAGAATAGGTACAGATATCTGTTCGATTATTTATGGATACATTTAAAAACAGTTACAGATGTCTGTTTAGATATTTAAGGATACATTTATAGCAGTTACATGATGTAAATGTATGTTCAGATAATTCAGTTTGCATCTAGAACAGTAACATATGTCCTTTTTAAGGTTACATCTTTAACAATTACAGATGTCTGTTTAGTTATTTATACCGCCTCCGTGGTCGAGGGGTTAGAGTCGATGACTTCTAATCCAGTTACCTCTCTGGCATGGGTTCGATCACCGGGAGATGCTTTGGTAGTTTAGCGCGGAGGAAGGTAGTCTAGTACTGGAGTAACTCTCCAGGAATGATGGTTAGGAAACTACCCGCCTATATGACTAAAATACTGTTGGAAAAGGCGTAAAATGAAAACAAACAAACAAACAAAAATTAGTTATATTTAAGGTTATATCTTTAACAGTTACAGATGTCTGTTTAGATATTTAAGGTTACATCTTTAACAGTTACAGATGTCTGTTTAGATATTTAAGGTTACATCTTTAACAGTTACAGATGTCTGTTTAGATATTTAAGGTTACATCTTTAACAGTTACAGATGTCTGTTTATATATTTAAGGTTACATCTTTAACAGTTACATATGTCTGTTTAGATATTTAAGGTTATATCTTTAACAGTTACAGATGTATGTAAAGGTTGTTTAAGAAACATACCTAGAGCAGTTACAGATTTCTGTTAAGATTGTCTAGAATGCATCTGAAACAGTAACAGTAACAGTTTGTTTAGATATTTAAAGTTATATCTTTAGCAGTGTCTGTAAAGAGGATACATGATATATCTAGAGCAGTTACATTTAATGTCTATTTACATATTTAAGGATACATCTAGAACAGGTACATATGTCTGATATTAAAGGACACATCTATTTTAGTTACAGGTGTCTTTTAAGATAGTTTAGAGTGAATTAAGAGCACTAACAGATGTATGTTTAGATATTTAAGGATGAACCAAGAACAGTTGCGTATGACTGTTTAAATAGATAAGGATGCATGAAGAATTCTTTATTTATTATGCTTAATCTTACCTTACTGTATAGATTTATGTGTTTTTATTTTGGAGCATGTACATAATAAATAGCTTTCAATTTTCGACAACGTTTTAAGTTTCCGATGCAAATAATCACTGTTAAAACTCATTGAATGGGATGTAATTAAATTTTTGAATGGAAACACTCATATGCTCATTTGAAGATTTGTAAATTCCATTTTTTTTTTTCGAATGAATATAATCACAAATGTTTAAAATACTATAAATCAATAAGAAACTGTCTATATAATATAGAGAAATTATAATTATATGTACTCGTATTTCTTATTTTTGATAGAATTTTCAACTTCGGTGATATACAATTTATTGTTGTCCAATTCGTTTTTTATTAAGAAAAATATATTCTTTGTTTTTTTTGTTTGTTTTTGTTTGTTTGTTCGTTTTGTTTGCTTGCTTGCTTGTTTTACTGTATTGCTCTTTTTAATCTGGTAAATCTATCACTTTCTGTATCACTTAATAATTTATATCATAAAAAAAATATTATCAATTTTTAAATTTTAAAAATTATTGATTTAATATGATGGCGAAAAAAAGGAATATAATGTAAAATTTATATAACTGTTGCTATTTATTAACGTTATTAACTTATTAACCGTCTAATCAAACCTTTCTAAATGCAACAGGTATTTTAAAATGTCATAATGTTCCTTCAAGTTGGTTTGAATTAGTTATAGTTTTTCAATTTATTGCAGGCTACCATAATGATGCTCTGTTATCTGATCATCAAGATCAGGGAACATTCAAATGTCCTGGTGATAGAACTTACATGCATGAAGATACTAAATATAACTTTGTCATCGGAGAAACAAACGACCCAACACATCACAGCGAGTATAACAATATTTATATGTATATCATGTACAGTTTGTACAACATATACAACATATACAACATATACAATATATACAACATGTAAAATATATACAACATGTACACTATATACAATATATACAACATATACAATATATACAACATATACAATATAAACAATGTATACAACATGTTCACTATATACAATATAAACAATAAATACAATATATACAATATATACAATATAAACAATGTATACAACATGTTCACTATATACAATAAAAACAATATATACAACATATGCAATATATACAACATATACAATATATACAACATGTACAACATATACAATATATACAACATGTAAAATATATATATAACATATACAATATATACAACATATACAATATATACAACATATACAATATATACAACATATACAATATATACAACATGTACAACATATACAATATATACAACATATACAATATATACAACATGTACAACATATACAATATATACAACATGTAAAATATATATATAACATATACAATATATACAACATATACAATATATACAACATGTACACTATATACAAATATATACAATATATACAATATATACAATATATACAACATATACAATATATACAACATGTACACTATATACAATATATACAACATGTAAAATATATATAACATATACAATATATACAACATATACAATATATACAACATGTACACTATATACAACATATACAATATATACAACATGTACAATATATATAACATATACAATATATACAACATATACAATATATACAACATGTACAATATATATAACATATACAATATATACAACATATACAATATATACAACATGTACAATATATATAACATATACAATATATACAACATATACAATATATACAACATATACAATATATACAACATATACAATATATTTAACATATACAATATATACAACATGTACAATATACAACATGTACAATATACAACATGTACAATATATACAACATGTACAATATATATAACATGTACAATATATACAACATGTACAATATACAACATGTACAATATATACAACATGTACAAGATGTACAATATATACAACATGTAAAATATATACAACATGTACAAGATGTACAATATATACAACATGCACAGTATATATAACATGTACAATATATACAACATGTACAATATATACAACATGTTCAATATATACAACATGTACAAGATGTACAATATATACAAGATGTACAATATATATATAACATGTACAATATATACAACATGTTCAATATATATATAACATGTGCAATATATAACATGTACAATATATACAACATGTTCAATATATATAACATGTACAATATATATAACATGTACAATATGTACAATATACAACATGTACAATATATATAACATGTACAATATATATAACATGTACAATATATATGACATGTACAATATATACAATATGTACAATATATATGACATGTACAATATATACAATATGTACAATATATATGACATGTACAATATATACAACATGTTCAATATATATAACATGTACAATATATATATATAACATGTACAATATATACAACATGTACAATATACAACATGTACAATATACAACATGTACAATATACAACATGTACAATGTATACAATATACAACATGTACAATATATACAACATGTACAATATATATAACATGTACAATATATACAACATGTTCAATATATATAACATGTACAATATATATATAACATGTACAATATATACAACATGTACAATATACAACATGTACAATATACAACATGTACAATGTATACAATATGCACAATTTATACAATATATACAACATGTACAATATATATAACATGTACAATATACAACATGTACAATATACAACATGTACAATATATACAACATGTTCAATATATATAACATGTACAATATATATAACATGTACAATATATACAACATGTACAATATATATAACATGTACAATATATACAACATGTTCACTATATATAACATGTACAATATATACAACATGTACTATATACAACATGTTCAATATATATAACATGTACAATATATATAACATGTACAATATATACAACATGTTCAATATATATAACATGTACAATATACAACATGTACAATATATACAACATGTTCAATATATAACATGTACAATATATACAACATGTACAATATATATAACATGTACAATATATACAACATGTACAATATATATAACATGTACAATATATACAACATGAACAATATACAACATGTACAATGTACACAACATGTACAATATATATAACATGTACAATATATACAACATGTACAATATATATAACATGTACAATATATACAACATGTACAATATACAACATGTACAATGTATACAACATGTACAATATATACAACATGTACAATATATACAACGTGTACAATATATACAATATATACAATATATACAACATATACAATATATACAATATATATATACAACATATACAATATATACAACATGTACAATATATACAACATATACAATATATACAACATATACAATATATACAACATGTACAACATGTAAAATATATACAACATGTACAATATACAACAAGTAAAATATATACAACATGTACAATATATACAATATGTACAATATATACAACATGTACAATATACAACAAGTAAAATATATACAACATGTACAATATATACAACATGTAAAATATATACAATATATACAACATGTAAAATATATACAACATGTACAATATATACAACATGTACAATATATACAACATGTACACTATATACAACAAGTAAAATATATACAACATGTACAACATATACAATATATACAATATATACAACATATACAATATATACAATATATATATACAACATATACAATATATACAACATGTACAATATATACAACATATACAATATATACAACATATACAATATATACAACATGTACAACATGTAAAATATATACAACATGTACAATATACAACAAGTAAAATATATACAACATGTACAATATATACAATATGTACAATATATACAACATGTACAATATACAACAAGTAAAATATATATAACATGTACAATATATACAACATGTACAATATATATAACATGTACAATATATACAACATGTACAATATACAACATGTACAATGTATACAACATGTACAATATATACAACATGTACAATATATACAACGTGTACAATATATACAATATATACAATATATACAACATATACAATATATACAATATATATATACAACATATACAATATATACAACATGTACAATATATACAACATATACAATATATACAACATATACAATATATACAACATGTACAACATGTAAAATATATACAACATGTACAATATACAACAAGTAAAATATATACAACATGTACAATATATACAATATGTACAATATATACAACATGTACAATATACAACAAGTAAAATATATACAACATGTACAATATATACAACATGTAAAATATATACAATATATACAACATGTAAAATATATACAACATGTACAATATATACAACAAATAAAATATATACAACATGTACACTATATACAACAAGTAAAATATATACAACATGTACAACATGTACAATATATACAACATGTACAATATATACAATATAAACAAAATATACTATATGTAAAATATACAAAACATGTACAATATATACAACAAGTAAAATATACACAACATGTAAAACATGTACAATATATACAATATAAACAATATATACAACATGTACAATATAAACAACATGTACACTATAGACAATATGTACAATATATACACCATGTACATTCTATACAATATAAACAATATATACAACATATACAATATATGCAACATGTACACTATATACAACATGTACACTATATACAACATGTACAATATACAAAACATGTACACTATATACAACATGTACACTATATACAATATAAACAATATATACAGCATGTACAATATATACAACATGTACAATATATACAACATGTATATTATATACAACATATACAACATATACAATATATACAACATATACAATATATACAACATATACAATGTATACAACATGTACAATGTATACAACATATACAATATACAGTATGTACAAAAACAAATGACCAATTAATACATGAATGATATTTTCCTGTTATTTGTTTTGAATTCATTTTTAACTCAAGGAAATTTTTTGAAGTCGTTCAATTTTATATTTTAAAGTCAGATTTTGCTCAAATTCCTCCATTTATTTTAAGCTTCAAAGATTTTTGACGGAGCATCTTACCTAGAATAAACGATTATATACATGTATTAACAGATCTCCGGAGGGAGGCGTATATACACGATCATGTAACATGTCAAAAATGTTATTGTAGAGTTTGTTATATAATACTAAATTCCTTACCTGGATAAACAGCAGCCGTGTTTTATATATCTCCGAAATGAACGTTAATATTACATGTGAAAGAAATAATGAACTTTATAGTTTATGGAGGTATTTTGGTCGTTCATAAAATTGTTATTGTAAAAATGAAACCGCTATAATCTACCTTATGTATTGCTATATTTTGAGAAAATTTTGAGTTTGAATAAGGAAATAACATAACATACATGTATATCATTAGTATGAAATATATATGTGTGTGATTAATAAATAACAACTAATGTATATTATAAATTTAATTTAAGATATGCATGTCCAAAAGCTATGACAGATCTGAAATATTTCCACTACTCGTCTGTGCACAAAGATTACGAGGAACACGTCATACAATATTGGAAAGACCACGGATGTTATAATGAAATAGCGGCACGACTCGGATATAGACTTTATATGAAAAATGTAAGAATTTTTTTTTAAATTAATAGGTTATTTAAATATAGCTATTCTCATTGTAATTTATTTCAGTGCAGTTCATTTTATTCTGAATCTAAACTTCATTTCTTATAAGATACAAGAAACAATAAAGTTAAGTCGGTTGCCATTCGTGGTAAATCGTCAGCTCAAACCACCAATGACAACATTCTATAAAATATTAGTATTAGTAAGTTGTAACTCGTGAACAGCATTTTATTGCCATATAAATTGTGTATTTTAGGCAATTCTTCCGGACACAGCTAAAAGCGGTGGTCAGTTTTGCTACAAGATCGTTCTGCGTAACGTTGGGTATGCTGCTCCATTTAAACAACTTCAAGTGAAAATTGCTCTTAAAAGCTCTAGCGGGTAATATTTGTCTTCATATAAAACATTCTCTTTTTCTGTATATCAAAAACAAATGAAATGTGACAATTGTGATGCATACTATACTACTTTTGTATCTGCCATGAGACCAAATTGGTCACTAACTGTAATAATCATGCTTCTAACCGTTATCTTTCATCACCCGTACTAAGGACGCTGTTCAACAAGACCGGATCACTTGTTTTGTTTTTTATCAAAGTTTTTGACCAACCACAATTATTTAAATACTAAGTCTGATATTAGGCTTGTTGTATCTATCATCAACCTGAACTACATGTATTTACAAGCTACAGCAGATGCCTCGACTAGTTACATCACGATCACAATTAGTTTGCTTGAGTTTAATTGTTTGAAGAAATCAGAACTTATATGAGTTTTGTTTTATAGACTATAAAATATCTTACACTATCAACATGTATATATTTTCATTATTGTTAGTTGTATATGCTTATGTTTTTTACTATTTGTGTTATTATATTCAGATCCCCACATTATATGGTGATTCCCAATGTTGATGTAAGAACATGGCAACCAGATACAGATATTACCCTAAGTGGTTCTGTTACAATACCATCAGGTATGCAGGGCACCTACAAGGTAACGTTTAATTATACATACAATCTAAGCTTCAATAACAGTCAAGTTAGTGATAAACATGCTAGGTAAACTTTGATATACGTCAAGTTTGTGATTACATATAAGGTAAACTAATAATTGTCAAGTTAGTGATAAACATGATAGGTAAACTTTGATATACGTCAAGTTTATGATTACATATAAGGTAAACTAATAATTGTCAAGTTAGTGTTTAACATGATAGGTAAACTTTGATATACGTCAAGTTTATGATTACATATAAGGTAAGCTAATAATTGTCAAGTTAGTGTTTAACATGATAGGTAAACTTTGATATACGTCAAGTTTATGATTACATATAAGGTAAACTAATAATTGTCAAGTTAGTGATAAACATGATAGGTAAACTTTGATATACGTCAAGTTTATGATTACATATAAGGTAAACTAATAATTGTCAAGTTAGTGTTTAACATGATAGGTAAACTTTGATATACGTCAAGTTTATGATTACATATAAGGTAAACTAATAATTGTCAAGTCAGTGTTTAACATGATAGGTAAACTTTGATATACGTCAAGTTTATGATTACATATAAGGTAAACTAATAATTGTCAAGTTAGTGATAAAATGATAGGTAAACTTTGATATACGTCAAGTTTATGATTACATATAAGGTAAACTAATAATTGTCAAGTTAGTGTTTAACATGATAGGTAAACTTTGATATACGTCAAGTTTATGATTACATATAAGGTAAACTAATAATTGTCAAGTTAGTGTTTAACATGATAGGTAAACTTTGATATACGTCAAGTTTATGATTACATATAAGGTAAACTAATAATTGTCAAGTTAGTGATAAACATGATAGGTAAACTTTGATATACGTCAAATTTATGATTACATATAAGGTAAACTAATAATTGTCAAGTTAGTGTTTAACATGATAGGTAAACTTTGATATACGTCAAGTTTATGATTACATATAAGGTAAACTAATAATTGTCAAGTTAGTTATAAACATGATAGGTAAACTTTGATATACGTCAAGTTTATGATTACATATAAGGTAAACTAATAATTGTCAAGTTAGTGTTTAACATGATAGGTAAACTTTGATATACGTCAAGTTTATGATTACATATAAGGTAAACTAATAATTGTCAAGTTAGTGATAAACATGATAGGTAAACTTTGATATACGTCAAGTTTATGATTACATATAAGGTAAACTAATAATTGTCAAGTTAGTGTTTAACATGATAGGTAAACTTTGATATACGTCAAGTTTATGATTACATATAAGGTAAACTAATAATTGTCAAGTCAGTGTTTAACATGATAGGTAAACTTTGATATACGTCAAGTTTATGATTACATATAAGGTAAGCTAATAATTGTCAAGTCAGTGTTTATAACATGATAGATAAACTTTGATATACGTCAAGTTTATGATTACATATAAGGTAAACTAATAATTGTCAAGTCAGTGTTTAACATGATAGGTAAACTTTGATATACGTCAAGTTTATGATTACATATAAGGTAAACTAATAATTGTCAAGTCAGTGTTTAACATGATAGGTAAACTTTGATATACGTCAAGCTTGTGTTTTACAATAAAAGGTAGATCTGACACATTAACATTTGCTTGTGCATCTTAGTTTTAATTGCTGTTGCACCTCTATCCTCTCTGAAGGCCTTATGTCAACAGTAAAAAACCTTGTCAAACTACAAATATGTAAAATTTGGTCTGACTCTATACTAGTGGCAAAGATTGATCACTTCAGGTTCCGGCAGCATAATGGTTAAGTGATTAATATCTCGGGAATCATGTTGAAGGCGCGTGTCATCACACAATAAATAATCGGTTGTACTGACCTATCTAATCCAAAAGTTAAAGTTTGATTTGCCATGTGGTACCAGTATTTTTTCTTCAAGAAAAAATATTTAAAAATTATAAAAATAGATAAGAATGTCTTCAGTCGAGCAACAGTAAAACTTTCAAAGTATCAGGAACATAAAGATTACTTATTATACATTATTTTAACACATTTTAATTAAAACTACATACATATACAACAGTTGTACAAAATTAAGTCCAACCATTATACACATTATTATTTACATTATAATTAAAGGTTTATCTAGTATTGGCTCACAAAGAATTGTCTGATAATTGGCGCTACAATGTCTTAATGGCCAACAGAAACGGTGTACCACAAACATCTACCCGAATGAATGCTCTTCTTCATTCCGTCACAGTTACATCAGGATCTTGTAGTGGTATAAATTATAACTTATCAACTGTATATAAAGTTATCTTTGAATATTTATTTAATCCGTGCTGTAAGGACACATCTTAATCTTTAATTTTCTAACAAAACATCTGTGCGATTTTATTAGCAGTATAATTAGTGACCACCAGCCAGTATGTTTTACATACGAAATGTAAAAAAAGAACGAACGAAATAAAACTGTAACTTCAAGAACGTTCAAAATATTTGATGAATTTAGATTAGGAAATTGGCAATCTAATGCTACCTTTACAACTGGAATCCATGTTGTTTGACCGTCTAGACAAAAGTCAAACAAAAGTTATTGTTTCATCAATAACGTCAATATTTTGTATTACTGTGGTGACCACATCACAACGTCCATTTTTTAATTACTAACATACCGGGTTATTCCCTGACTCCTAAATGAAACTTGGGTCTCCTTATATTCAAATTGATTGATTGATTGATTGATTTTCTTAAGACCAGGCGGTCAAGGATAAGCTACGAAAGTGCAAGCACTTATTTCCAGTTGGGTCCTTTCCTCAGCAGACCATGAGATACAAGGGAATCCGGGAACAAGTCCCTAGCTCTTATTGAATAGATTCCTTGGTTCTTTTACATGCCCAGTCTATAGCACTGATACATGCGAGGATTACCTGGGTTTCGTATCAGTAAACCTCCCTCTAGTTAGGTGGGAAACACTGAAAGTGTTTCTGAAAAATCCCAAGGGTGTTACCCAGGATCGAACCCGGAACCTCAGGAGTGACAGTCAGTGATCTAACAAACTGAGCTATCGCGCCACCATAAAGGTGACAATAAAGAAAATCCAAGCAACTAAATATCTGTTTTTTTCCGACAATTCTCAATATATTTAAATGGTTCATTGCAAAGAAAGTTAAAATTACAAATACTCGTCATAAAACGCAATCATGGTTAAAAAAGTATCAGTCATGTCACACAAATTCAACTAGTAGACCGTTGATATTGTATTTTTATATCTAAAAGCTTTTGATCTTGCTATATATTAAATATACATAATTAAAAACTTCATAATTTTCATATTGTTGTGTCCATAGTTTTAAATACATGTATTATTTATCAAAAAAGTAAAGTGAGAGGTACCAAAGCAGGCTTAATTGAAGTTATATTTGCATCAATATTACACCAGAATGTATATCCGTTTTTACAAATGTTAATTGTTTATATACCTTATGTTTGTATCATGTATGATATACTGAGAGAAATAAAGAATTTGAATTTGAATTTAGATATATTGAAAGAACGTAGATGAGTGTCATTCAATGAATGACGTAATTGTCACAGTGTGGACTCTTATAAAGCTTGTAACAAACAAACTAGCGCCTTGTATGAAATAACAATTTAAGATATGCCTTACTTCCGAACACATGAACGTTTGACACGATAACATTTTCTTCAATTTTATAAATAGTTGTATTGTATGTAAGGTGGATCAACTGGCTCGGGAACATCATGCCACACAATGCACTTGTCAGATGGCTCCTTTGAAAGTAGTACCTCGGGTTGGTCGAAATATTCGCAGGGATTTACCGTACAATCAAGTAGTGACGCCCAAGATGGAAGTAAATATATACGTGTAGAAAATGGTGCTGCCGAACAAACAATAGACTTCTCCGGGTAACTTTAAATAAAATCTCATTCTCTCAATATTTTAAGGTCTTTTTGACATAATATTAAGTTGTCAAGGTTTTATAAGATTTAAATGTAGATTAACAGATTAGCAAGGGTATTTTAGCTTTTAACTGTTGATATTTAGGTAATGTATAAGCACGGATTTATATTACAATCCGTGGTATAAGTTACAAGTTACATAAGCGCGAAAAGAGAAGTAACTCTTCAGAACATATTGGAAGTATTTGCAATATTGGGCTGAGGAGTTGTCCCCCCTGTAACTATGTATTAGTCTCTTATAATTCTTATCAGAATGACCATACTGGCAATTTATGATTTTATGTTTTAAAATTTGTAACTGAAATATTGTAAATGTTATGTATGGATGAGACTTTTAATAAAGATCATATATATATATATATATATATATATATATATATATATATATATATATATATATATATATATATATATATATATATATATATATATTCTATAAAAACAAATAAACTTATTTGAATTATTTCTGTTTTCTCATTTTATTTTCTTGCTTTCGTGTAATCTGAACTGAATACTTGTAACATTGCAACAAATTTACAATTTTTAATTTAAATCAAAAGAAAAAAGTGTTGCATATGGTTTATATTTCAAATTATAATTATTTGATACATAAGGTCACCGGTGCATGAGTTCAGATTAAGCGGTTACAGTCGACATAGTTCTGATGCACATGTCTCGGATCCAGCAGACTACAGCATTTACTGTGACCTTGTGGTAAAGTACAGATTCTATCATTCTTTTTTTTTTTTTTTTGATTCTGTCCTTTTTTCAAAAAAAGTTATCATGGTTGACACAACTTTAAAATTTACAACAGACAATAATACCTGTCAACATTTTAGAATATCTGGGCAGACCAGCTGTTACCAGTCCGGCAGTTAAAAAAGTTCCAATTCATTCCGTAAAAGCCAAAACTCTACAGTGGTCCGAGACCCAAAACAACATATTTCGTCCCTCTGGCAAAAAAAACCCTGCAAATATACGGGCTACAGAAACTCTGTCACTGCTTTAGCAACTCCCTATACATGCAAAAATTATAGGTGCTTGTGAAAGTTTGTAACCCCCTGTAAAATTACTTGTTTTCACCGAGCATGCTGTTTAAAAGCAAAGTTTACAAACAATGGCGGCCTTGACATCTATAATTAACAGCATGTGATTTCTAACCATGTTTTCGAGTTTGCCAATGATCATATTACATGTCACAAAAACAAATTTCAGGCTGAAAATGCACTTTACAGGCAACCAGTCATTTACAAGTTGATCGTGATCTTTTGCACTTGTTCTTCGTTAATTTCTTCGCTGTGAACCGGCCTTTTGTATCTCGCAACGCCATTTTGAAATGACAGGATGTAACAGTGTAGTTCCCGGTGCTCGATTGAATTTTTAATTCCAATGCAGGGAACCATGTTCGGAATAACGGAAAATTCCGATATATACCGGAAAATGACGGTAAATGTCGAAATAACCGGAAATGTATTACCCAGATCTTACCTTAAATCCACAATAATCACTTTATACATGAAATCCTCCCGGCCATTCGAAGCTGTGGCTTCAATTAGTGCGGTGTGCTGCCTAAGTTTGCTGCTTTTCATCGGAGGTTGTTGTGGTTCGTTGTCCTATTATATTTAGAGCACGCCAGGAATCAGTAGTAGCAGGTTACCTGCAATATATTGTTTATCAAAGCAAGCCGGGAATCAGTTTTCCTGGTTTCCTGTCTCATTATGGTTCCCATTCAAAATTACATTCGGAATCCCTTTCCGATTACAATTAATCCATATACAGAAGTTTCGCGAAAGTACTTTTCCCGAAATTGGACTCATAGCGCGTTCATTTGATTTTAAGTGAATTTATGTCCTCCGGATGGAATCAATTTAGATATAATATAAAACAATAAAATGACTGCATTTCGTAAGTAAAAATAAATGTGTAGTAGTGTATAGTGAATTGTGAGGACGTAAGTGTGCAGTCCTAAGTCTATAGTCTCCTGTAAATTAAAGTGATGTGCTCGCCTATGGGGTTAATATCCAATGTATTAGCCATATAATAGTTAAATGTTTTACAAATTCTGTCAAAGAGCTTGCTATGAGGCTTTGTCTTATTCATATTACAAACAAGCTGGATACTGCTTAAAAACACACAAATTTGTCATTTTCGGGATATGATATCTGGAGAAAGTTTTCTAATGTATTTCATTTGCTAATTTACTTGAATACTATAGATCAGCTTACTTTGTCGCTTTCATTATCATTAAGGATTATTAAGGAAGCGTTCGGGAAGATTTGTTCTTGTTCTTGGTTATATTGACGCTTATTTTGGTTCTATTAGACATGCTAAGTGACAAAAAGTGCCACACTTGCATGAGAAATATTTATTGTTTTATCTTAGGACACAGACGACAACAGTTTATATGGATATACAGAAAACTTTGATACATCCACCACCCCCGAGGTGTGGCACTTGAAAGAACTACATGTTGTAACCAGCAAGGTAAACTAGCATTGTTCTGGTCAGTAATCTATGTTTAAAATAATCTATTTTGAAACATATATTTATAATATATATCTATATATTTATGTATGTTATATTTATTTTGAGAGCACCTGACCATATTTACTTTTAACGTAATCTTGTAATAAGTCTCGGACGCTACAGAAATATACTTACATCTCACTAGGATGAAAAACTTTTGTCATTTCAGTCTATCAAAACAGCCACATGTTACGCCATGTTTAGGAATGGACAAGGATATGTATACTTTGATAACTTTCGGTTGAACACCTGCGCAGGTACGTCGTGTTTTAAGTTTTTAAGTACGTTATAAGGTTTAATCAGCATGACTGATTGTTTGTGTCCGGTCGTTAAGGAGTGTTATCTAGAGTCTACGTGGAAGGTACAAGACGCCTCATCCTTTGATAAATTCTTTAAATTATAAAAAGATAACTTCTGGCTGTAGAAAACGAGTTCTTTCTCTTATTGAGGTTTTATACTTATATTGAGCATTTCTTCAGACTCAAAAAAGATTTTGTATTCATACATTATTGGCGTTTTAGGCTTAAGCAGACGCCTGGGTGAGAGTTCGGGGGCTTGAGGTAACTTACATTTACCACTTCTGTCCATGAATATGATACATCAAACGAATCTTCCACATTTTTAATTTTGCCGTTTTAGGGCGTTTTTATTGATAGCCTTTTGCTTACGTGGGTGGATCTTTTTGAGAAAAGGTAGAATGCATAAAAAGACAACTGTTTACTGTTTAATGTTGGATAGGTCTGTAGTTATACAACAAATCATCGGTCTCTACGATATTCTAGGGTTATTTGATTAAATATTGATATTTTGATTTAAATATTTATCATTTCCTTTGAAAGTATCTTTTATGTAACACCATTTATCTATTTCTATACTATGATTATTTTAAGGTCAAAGCTGTAGATATCAGACAGCCGATGGATCTTTTGAAGTTGGAGATGGATGGGTTAACTATCAAGATGGATTTAAGAGACATCAAGGACATGCACAGAATGGCAACTATTATATTACAGTAACAAATGGTGGTGCAACTCAGTATATAGATTTTAATAGGTTAGCACGTTTTTATATATCAAATAACATCATAATGTATAATAATATGGCAAGGTGTCATATGAATGAATAACAACATGACAAGGTGACAAGGTGTCATATATCATATAATATCATAATATATAATAACATGACAAGGTGTCATATATCATATAATATCAGAATATATAATAACATGACAAGGTGTCATATATCATATAAAATCAGAATAAATAACAACATTATATGGGTAAATCTCAGTTTGGTAATATTTTGTATTAAAATTATATTCACTGGTCACTTTTACAGGTTATATTCCGCTTTCCACCACGTACTATTGTAATGATATTTTCATTGCATAGCAGTTATAGTTTTATTATAATCCGCAGACAGTTTTGAGTAAGATGAAATAGATTTAGTAACTAACTTTTCTGTTATTTCTTTATCAATAAATAAACATCAAATGCATTACAATACGGAATTCGCTCAACGAACGTACAGATATATCCAAACGTTCAAGTTATACTTTATTATATATTCTTAAGAGTATTAATTTTCTATTGATTCGAAATATTATATTATTATACATAGTGGAAGCATTACAAGATTTACATTAAGTGGCTACAGCAGAGCTAACTCAGTGTCCGGTATATCTGGAAGTGATTACTCTATTTACTGTGATCTAACCGTGAGTCAAAATTTTAATGTTTTTTCTTTACTTCTATACAACTGTTTTTCTCATTTTCCGCTTTGAATTTCCTTGCAAATAATCTTTTTTTTTTTAGAAAAAGTATCAAAGTTAATGCCGCCACATGTTTTTGAGCTGAGTACATAAATTTTGTAAGACGTATCATACATGTGTTTTAATTATTATGTAAAGGAATGATTTACTATAACCTCGCTTCTTTTTAGATTATTGGCTTAATTTTGAAATCTTTAAGTTTTGCTATCTTTTAATGAAGCGACTTAAAAAGAAAAAGAGAGGATAAATGAATGACAACAGGTTAACACTACCTACGCACAGACGAAAGAAGCATAGACTGTTGTTTTGTTTTTGTACAGAATAACCGCAGGGTCATATTTTGATATGTGTTACCTACGAAAGACCGGTAGGGTCATTTCAACTTCACGAATTAACGATTTCAACATCACGAATTCAAGATTTCAACTTCACGAGTTAACGATTTCAATTTCATGAAGTTGAAATCGTGAATTCGTGAAGTTGTAATCGTGAATCCCTTGAAGTTTAAATGCTGAATTCGGGAATTCATAAAGTTGAAATGCCCCCATCGGTCTTTCGTAGTTACCTGTTCCATAGTTTAAGAGATAACGATTGTGAAATTGTAACGAAGTACCATAGACCGTAAACTGGTTAAGAATGGTTATTTTACATTTTACAAAAACATGTTCTGTTAACATGACTAACTATACAATAATTTACATGTGTTTCAGCATCCAAATCATGACAATACATGGGGTGAACACGCTGATTTTGATCCATCTCAGTCGTCATGGCAACATGCTGTTTTAAACGTAGTTTCTCCAAAGGTTAGTTTTTTAATATAAGTAAATAAAGGTAAATTAAATTATTAAATCCATACTTATGTATGTACACGTTGAATCATGTTATAAATAGGTTACTTTGTGCTTGAAAATACTGACAATTTAAATAATCAAGATATGTCATTTAAACAATTTTACCTTAAATGTAAAAAATGAAAATGAAGTACATTATCCGATTAAATTAAAAACATTAAATGTATTTATTTATATCTCATTTAGTCATTCAATAAAAATTAGTAATCAATTCATTCCCCTTCTTTTTATTTATTTTTTGTTTGTTTATTTCTACAGAGTGTGAAGCTAAGGTTTTCTGTTGTCTTTAAGATGTTGGTTTGTTCCCTTTCAAATGATTGACCATCGCTTAAGCTACCCTATGATTTGTATATAATAGCCTTTATTCTCAGCAAAAAAAAGTTTTTCAGTTACAAATTTACATCCTTGAAAATGGATTAGTCTTATGTTTTATGTTAATAGAGCCTTAACATCTAGGGTAAAACGATCATTTTTATCTTCCAGGTTATATTAGGTGCGAGATGTTATGCCATGTTTCGCAACGGACACGGATCTGCTGATTTTGACAATTTTCAGCTGGAATCGTGTGAATAATGGCTCCCATATCAATACAGGATATGCTGTTCTAGTTACAGGAACTTTAGTTCGACATTTCAGCCCAGTAAAATCTGCTTCGACAAACGTACACAACATGACTTTTAGAAAGAAAATCTGTTTAGTGCATTTTTGCAATATCAGATGAAAATAATCAAATAGTAATTTATCAACTTTATGCTACTTCTAATTTATTGGGTCAAAAACATATTAAATTGCCATGTGGTACATATTGACATTACAGCATAAAATATCGAGACTTTCTTGTAACAATTTTATTTTAATTACAGCATAGATGTACATTACACCAAGTGTATATAACACATTGGCATACCGCATTGATTTTCCTGAAAAATGGGTGTTATAATGTGATACACTAAGACCTAAGTTAAGCCGTCGTATTCCGTGCTTCAGAAATCTACGACTTTTATATTTAACCATTGAATTAAAAAAAATCAATATTGGATCTGAAATGTTTAATTATATTCGTTATGACCGAAAATACGTGTTAATTTTTTCTAATGGTCTAAAACTGTGATCTTATTTTTTGAAACTTATGTTGACGATGTCGTGGCGGCTCTTAATAATTCCCGATGCTCGTTTTCAGGAAATATTTACAAACGCATTTTAAAAAAAGTCAGAAACATCATCTGATAGAGCTTAGAATTATTAACCTGCGATATTTTATCACAATATTCATAGAGAAACAACACAAAGTTGCCGTTAAAACTCATACTTAAATCGGATGAAACTGCATCACTACGATACACAAAATGTCACACGGACTGGCAGCCGTATTTGTCTTCGAGAGACCGAGTGTCTTCTTGAATCAATCAGCGAGAGACCGAGTGTCTTCTTGAATCAATCAGCGAGAGACCGAGTGTCTTCTTGAATCAATCAGCGAGAGACCGAGTGTCTTCTTGAATTAATCAGCGAGAGACCGAGTGTCTTCTTGAATAAATCAGCGAGAGACCGAGTGTCTTCTTGAATAAATCAGCGAGAGACCGAGTGTTTTCTTGAATCAATCAGCGAGAGACCGAGTGTTATCTTGAATTAATCAGCGAGAGACCGAGTGTCTTCTTGAATCGATCAGCGAGAGACCGAGTGTTATCTTGAATTAATCAGCGAGAGACCGAGTGTTTTCTTGAATCAATCAGCGAGAGACCGAGTGTCTTCTTGAATTAATCAGCGAGAGACCGAGTGTTTTCTTGAATCAATCAGCGAGAGACCGAGTGTCTTCTTGAATTAATCAGCGAGAGACCGAGTGTTTTCTTGAATCAATCAGCGAGAGACCGAGTGTTATCTTGAATTAATCAGCGAGAGACCGAGTGTTTTCTTGAATCAATCAGCGAGAGACCGAGTGTTATCTTGAATTAATCAGCGAGAGACGAGTGTCTTCTTGAATCGATCGGCGAGAGACCGAGTGTTTTCTTGAATCAATCAGCGAGAGACCGAGTGTCTTCTTTGATTAATCAGCGAGAGACCGAGTGTCTTCTTTAATCAATCAGCGAGAGACCGAGTGTCTTCTTTGATTAATCAGCGAGAGACCGAGTACCTTCTTTAATTAATCGGCAGGAAACCGGGAGACCAATAAAAAAAAATTGCCCAGCTAGCGACATGCGTAGGTCTTCCTAAAACATCATCCAGTGAGAGACCTGTTGGATATATTACATAGACATAAATTATTCATATCAATCAAATAAGGTTTATAAGCCCATGATAACATAACAACAGCACGTTCACAAAATAACGATCAGTGTATATGTTAGCTAGTATACAAAACATTATTATCACAATAAAATTTCTCGTATTACTTTTTAGAAGAAGGCCATAATTACAACATGTTCATTAAAACGTAGAAATGAAAAGAAAAACATTAAATGAGCCGTGTCATGACATAACCAACATAATGGGTTTGCGACCAGCATGGAACAAGACCAGCCTGCGTGTCCGCGCAGTCTGATCAGAATCCATGCTGTTCGCTTACAAATCCTATAACAAATAGAGAAACTGATAGCGAATAGCATGGATCCTGATCAGACTGCTCGAAAGCGCAGGCTGGTCTGGATCCATACTGGTCGCAAACCCATCATGTTATTTTTGTTGTGACACGGCTCAAATTATGTTTGTTTTTTCACTCATGTATTTCATAACTGCTGATATATGTGGATGATTATTGACTAGCTTTTAAAATTATCAAAAATGTCTGTCCTTCTCTGATAATGAGAAGCTACGTACCTGTTTCTACCTGAAGAAAATTGTATAAGTTACCAATATCAAACATAATGTTCCTAACATTAAAGATAACACAATTTTTTCATGTTTTTTTTTTTTCATAAATATGATGCTCAAATTAAAATTTGTCAATATTGTAAGTTCCAATAAGCATTATTCATAAAGATATTACCAAATTTAACATTTCATGTCAATAAAGGAAGGTAATTATAAAGTCAAATTTTCCAATATGAAATGAATGCATGTAATTTATTGATTAAATATAATGTGCACAAATATTTTAAGTACACATTTTACATATTATTCGATGCTTGAAACTTGTTTTATTTGCATAATTATATACATATATATATATTTGCAAGTGTGGTATACACACAGTAATAATATCGATCACATAACATACAGAATATTTTAATCATTACATTAAGCATACATATCTTACACAGCGAGAGGTATTTGCGGAAATAATGCCCAAGGTTCAGACATGAGCAAGTGACACCTGGGGTCTTCAGTCTCCAATAAAAGCTTGACAGTTATCATTATAACGCTAAAATGTAGAGTTGATGTGTGGAAAACATCATAGACAATAATAGCGCGTTATACTTCCCTCCACTTGTTCGCACATTCGAGTACATAATTATGCACGTCATTTTCTTTAACTTTTTATTACTTTGGAACAATCTGAGTCATGCACGTTGCACAATACTTTCTTTTTCAACGCAATTATTTAAAAAAAAAAGGGCTAGCAATTAATTTGGAAAATGCCTTGTGTGGTAAAAAAAATCTTTGAATTACAGCAAGTATATGACTGACTAATGCAACTTATTTGTATTTGACCTTAACTTAAACAAAACAATGTACAAATTATTCGGGCGCTAATAATTAACTCAAAACAGGTCAAGTGACTAGGAATGTAAAATTTTAATAGAAAAACGATTGTTTATTACAGAAAATTGCATTTCATGTTAAATTAGGAATTAAATAAGACTTTTTTCCTTAAGAATTTTTCCTTATTTCTATGCAATTTATTCTTGAAAATTTACTATGCATTTGTATTTTACTGTTACAGCAGTAGTCAATTTTTGTGCCGCCTCTACGGAGTAGTGGCGACATATAGGGATCACTTCTCCGTCGTCTGTCTGTCCGTCTGTCTGTCCGTTCGTCCGTCACAAAACTTGTCCGGACTACTCCTCATAAACTACTGGTGCAATTTCATCCAAACTTTACAGGAATGATCAGTACCAAGTCTAGTTGTGCATATTGTCAGCATTTTCCGGTTCAATGATTTTTGTTTGAGTTATGGCCCTTTAATAATTTTTTTTTAAAGTTTGTCTGGACTACTTCTCTTATACCACTAATGCAATTTCAATGAAACTTTACAGGATTGATCTGTAGCTCAAGTCCTTGCGCATATTGCATGGGTTTTTTGGTTGAATGATTTTTGGCTGAGTTATGGCCCTTTGATAAAAAGGTGTTTTTTCTGTGTGTTGCCAGATACGCAAAAGCTTGTCTGGACTACACCTCATAAACTTCTGGTGCAATTGTATCTAAACTTTACAGAAATGATCAGTACCAAGCCTAGTTGTGCACTGTCCGTCTGTCTGTCTGTCCGTCTGTCACAAAATTTGTCCCAACATGAAATTGGCCATCATGAGGCGACACATGTGATTACTGATCGCTCTTGTTATTTTTGTTTTTTTAATTTTATTTATTTTTTATTTTTATTTTTTTTTTGGGGGGGGCGGGGGTCAAATTCATATACTTTAATTGTTTATCTAAATTTTGCCCCTACTTGTTTTAATATACTTTTTGTTTTCATTTCATTCAAGAAAACGACAAACGGATGCTGTATCAAGTACTTCCGGTCTTATTTATGCATCTAGTGTATTTGTCTTACTGGTATGATAAGGAAATTTAATCTCAAGTGTTTTTTGTTATAAATGTTGTAATAATGTAAGTAAAATCATTATATGATGGATAAATGAACACATACATAAGTAAATAAAAAGTATTAAAGCCAATAAAAACGAAGATGATACTTATATATTAGTTTAAAACTATTAAGTTCTAAACGATACGGAATTTATTTTCACTAATACAAAAATAATAGACCAGGCTAGCGGTCTCTTCAAGTGTGGTTTTTCAAGGTGAGTGCAGGCACTAGTTTATCTTATAGTAATGCTAACAACACCGTATGAATAACCCCTTTTTACGAAAGCCCGGTGGGGACATTTCAACTTCATGTTACATCTTCGTGAATTCACAATTTTGTCATTATGAACACGCGGAATTCAAGATGATAAGGCACAATTTTACTGAAATGTCACAGAATTTATGCCTTTATCTACAATAAGACTATCAAGTTTCTATAAAATATCGGCGAAAAAAAGCAAGGAAAATGATGCAATTAGGTAAAAACAATGGAAATAATGAAATGTGTACATCCTTTGTAAATAAATGGAAAATGTGAGAAAAATACATTAGAGATTATTAATTGACACAAATTCGTTATTAGCTTCAAGTTATTCACTAACATTTAAAATTCCCTATTGATTTGCTCATTTGAAAAAAACGTTCACTTTTTTATTTTTCTCTGTGTCAATTTAGGTTTACAGGTGGAGGGGGTCCATTTACAATGAGTTTTCCAGCCAAAAAATGAAATCATTGTATTCTTGATATCAATGATTGTTAATGCAGTTCATTCTTATCAAGTGAAAAAAAATAATGTTTTGGTTACTTTTTCTAGAAAATATGAAGTTTAAAACACTCAGCAATTACTAACAGTCATTTTTTCTTAGAGTTCAAAGGATATAAAAAAGTTACTATGTAATCATTAGTCTCTGCGTGCCCCACATGTATTATCTATGTAATAAATTAATTGATTGTATCCTCATATTTAGAAATACCTGACCTCTTCTATTTTCTTTTACATTGGCAATGTTTTGCTAACCTAGACATTTTACAACTCAGAGCTAACTCCTGCCTAATATAATGCAATTTGTTAGACTGGTTAGACGACAGATTAAGTAGATTTTGTTTAGTTAGTACACATTAACCAAAGTTAGACTTAACAGAAATTTGAAAAATACTACAATGTGATTGGACAAAAAATAATGTTGATCATTAAGTTATTTTGCGGAACAAAACATAAAGTCACGTTCCCGTCATGTTTATTTATCTGTTCAACCATTAATGTTGCAAACGATTTTACACTCCCTTAAGAAAAATAACGAATTGATTTCTAAACAATTGACAATAAAGAATGAAACTCGCAAAAATCTAACATTTTGTTGAGCTCAAAAGAAATGATACATTGAGTTTTAATAATTATGCATCCCTCGATTCATATATAGAGGATATTGAATGAGTGTAGTTTAATACTAAATTTATTGAACGAGTTGAATAAAATCATATTATGCGAGCCTCTGGCGAGCATAATATTGTTTTATTCAACGAGTTCAATAAATTAAGTATTGAATCTACACGAAAACAATATTCTATTTATCACATATATAAAATGTTAAAATGAGTATCTTTTCAATGACGCGCCTATAGTGTAACGCTATGTTATAAATGTGTAAAAAAGAGCAATAAAATATATTTAAATCAAATAAAATACATTAAGTAATGTTTTATTTTAACCACAGTTCCATTGCATGATTAATTCCTCATTCATTTGTTAGACTCGCAAGTCATCATACAGTATCGCAGTGATATATGTTTATACCAACGATAGTGCATGCTTTAATATTAGTCATCACACTTTGTAATTACTGTTTTACATAATTATCTATAAACATGTACAATTTTGATTATAATAAACACCGACCAAATAACACGGTTAACATTGATATTTTTATAATGTTATATATTTAGACTGTTAGATATAGAAAAATACCAGCGTGGTTAAAATTAGAAATTGTTGTATTTCACGGTCTAAATATTTCACAACGCTGGTACCTGGCTACATTAAATTTTAATGATACAGGGAAACAGTTGTGGGTTAGTAATCACACGAGATAGTCGGTTTTTAATGTCGTGTTTAAACTCTTAGGATAAAGTGGGACATTTTTATGTTGTTTATTCGTAAGTATTCGTTTTATTTTTAATCTAAAGATTACAAACATGTTGTTTAGTATAAAATAATTAAGTTAATATTCATGTTGTATGACTCGTTCACCTGAAGCAGACGATCAAGTTAACGATACAGTTAACTTTCCATGTCTTATTGTCTATATGTTGTTTACACAAACAATTATGCTGATAGTAATGTAAATATGTCGGTTAAGAATGTTTAAACTGTTCGCATAGTTGACACAAATTTGGCTGTGTTTTTGTCATAAATAACTGTTTACTTTATGCTCTACGATATAAAGTAAATAAAGCGAAAGTAGAGCAGAAATGAGGTCACCAGGTAGTGAGATAATAAACACAATTTATTGTCTAATCCGCTTTTCTAAACATAAAATAAATCATTTATTACCTAATATCATTTATGAGACATTTAGTCTAGGACAGAATAAACAACAACAACACTATAATATGATGAAGGCCTTCGCATTGTTACAATATGTGTAAAATACACATAAATACACAATATAATAACATAACTGAATACTAATAATCTTGATTTTATATTTAAACATATTTAATGCTCTTTTTGTACTCATTTATAACAGTGTATTATCATAATATAAATACAAAAGTAGCAAAAGGGTTGAACCACGAGTTCTTACAACATCAGCAAACGGTTCTTCCCTAATATATGGAATAATCTAATAATAATAAGGCAGTAACAAACCAAATTGAATGAATGAGAAAGAAGAAAAAAAATGAGGGATAAAGTTCAGTGTTGAAAGCTCGCAGCTGTAAAATAAACTATTATCAGTTCAGAGGTATTTTCGCCACAAATATGCAAAACTTCGTGTTTTGGCATTCTCCAGTCGAGAAAGTGTTAGGAAGACAAAATCAGGCAAAGACACGACACATAAAATACGTCGTTGTTTGCATTACTTAATATTTTCTCATTTTTTGCATTTTCGTGGCGAACAACAACAACAACAAAACAAAACAGAAAAAAACGAAAGAACGTCACATTTTTTCCGTTGATGGTACCCAAATTAAAAAAAGAAAAGAGAGAGAAACATGATAAATGAATTTCTTGTTATTAAACTTTTTTCCAAAAAAAAAAATCATTACATTATATCCCTTGTTTTATTAAACGCCTGTTGATATGAATGTTTTGAATCGTAGTGTATTAGCACATATCTATACTGTGATAATTCCTGTTGACAATGCCGACAAAAAACTTGACATTCTGATATAATATTCTAGGTATAACTAATGACTCATTATGCCTCAGAAATTAACATTTACATATATTATAAGGGGTAGACGTGTGTTTCAAAGTTTGGTAACGCATTTAGAGAATGTAAGATGCTAATAACATGAATAGAGTAGCGGTGGACGTGTAATGATTTGTTATTAAGGTAACAAAATGTAAACAAAGTACATTTAACTATAGGCCAGTCATACTATTCTATACAATACTTTAACTATACAATACTTTACTTATTTACCAAAATGTTACAGAGGCAAAATATGACTCATCTTACTTTATGACAGGTGGGTTGTAAAAGAACACTTAATAAAAAGCCTTTGAAAATTAGAAAGTATAGCATTTTTCAGGCGTAATGGGCCTGTAATTAATTAACATATTTATTGCACAACAACAATGTGTGTCGTAAATGTCTTATTGGCATATGGATAAAAATGTTAAACCTCCTGCAGATGAGGTGAAACTACTATTGCAGGGGGCATAACCTTTAATGACTTTTATTGTGAAGTACAATAGGAGTATATCCCCTTGATATTCTTTTTATTTGTACATCACTTACATTAACTTCTTACCTTCCTAGACACATACATAACTAGTAACTCGTATAGAAATATGAGTATATAATGATTTCATGCGTTACATATTAATCAAAACTATATCAATAAAATATAAGCAAACCTATGTAGTTTTGGTTCACATCAACGTATATGTAGAGTAAAAGAACATATACCAAATACTTCAAGAGCACAGCAATATATAAAGAGCAATTTATAATTTTAAGAGAAAGCAGTTTTCAGAATGATAACGGTACTGTTCTTAAGACCTGGATTTTTTTGTTAAAAGATAGATCCATAGTTATCCTTCCTTATGTTTGTAAAGCTAAACATGATAGCCAGAAGTACATATAACCAAAAACATATTATTTGCAAAGCCTTTTTTCCTAAAATATAATGTTAAAGATAACATTACGTGTATACATTTTGATGCAGATTTTGATATTGTTAATGTCTTGTGTATACATTTCAATGTAATTTTGGATAATATTAACGTGATAAGTATATTTCATCCTATTTATTTTTAGAAATATTTTATATAATATATATACTATTGTTAAGGCAAATAAAAATCAATAAGTATTTTACATTTATCATCACAATTGATTGCATATTAACAATCAGATAACTGAACCAAAAATCGGAAATAATTAGGTTAATATGATTAAACAACGTATTGACAAATTAAGATAAAGACCTGAGTGTTTCAAAGTTCATTATTTGAATTAATGTTAAGTATTGATTTACTGTACATATTTTACATATTAACGATATCACGTAATGGTACTTGCAGATAGAATTATTTTAGCATAACAAGTAAAGGGTTTAACTTCGTTCTGTACGTACATGTATTTAATTACCGACTTGCAAGTTAAAACTTTGATTATAACATCTTAAAGATCATGTTATATAAGTATTTCAACTAATAGGCAAAAATGTTTCATTATTTTAACGCACAGGGTATAAGATTGAAGTATTTAGAATTTCAGGCTGAATTGTTTAAAAGCGCATTATGACTCAGAAAGGAATTCATTTTTCCTTCTTAAGACAGATCAAAAATGAATTTTTAACTTTTGAATAATGCTTTTAGAGCATTGTAGGAGCACATTTGTCTCGGAACACATTTGTCTCACGATGTGTGACCGATGTGCTCGTAAACATTCATATTTACGACAAATTGGAAATGAGACAGATGTGTTCGACCAGCAAAAGAAAGGACACTCAAAGCACATTTGTCTCACAGTCTTTCATGAAATTCTAAAAAGGTAATAATTTATGCCCGTCAGTATACCGGCTATCAGCAATTGTCCTGTGTTTTCTGTATTTATAATACCGTTTTTAGGTCACTTCCGGTCAATCAAACACTTACTGCCTCTGCATAGGAGTCACATATAAACTTAAAGAATATCCCTGTTCTGTATGTCACAATGAAAATTTCTTCCAGTACAGTATCTAGAGCCCAAACACATATACAGAGTATCCATCGTTATTGATTGTGGATGCTTTAAGCTTTATAAATGATTTAAAAATAGTCTAAGCAATCTACGGTTGCATAAACGGGACATAGTATTTTCTTATTTATTACGTGCGCAAGCGATAGCTATTACGTGGCCATTCGGTACTAATACTATTACGTGCGCAGCGATAGCTATTACTTTCTAAAGGGATAGTTATTGCGTGTGCACGCGGATAAGTACATATTCCACATTTGGGATTCCTCGCATGAATAGTTAGACGCCCCGAAGGAGTGTCGAACCTACAACGGTTAGGGGGAAGTGTTTTTTTGAAATCACTCGGCCACGGAGGCCACTTCATGATCTCAGGAAGAAAATGAGAAAATCATCCTATACATATTTTGTTTTCGTCAGATAAAATATCGCCATTTTCCGACAGATCCGCCATTGAAAAAGCTCTTACAACGTGTATGAGTCCCTAAAATAATCCGGGTAATGCAATAAATATGGAATATCGGCCTCGCAGAATCGGGCGAGACGGGAAATTCCGACGAGACACGAATCGATGCACGATATTGTAACACGAGATCTCGCAATGTCAAAGTATCCCGTACCACGAGATGTCAAAGTAGCATATATCGTGCCTCACTTCATGTTTTGTCGAACTTTCGCTTTTCATGTTGTGTCTCTCGGTAAAATATCGCGCATCGCTTCGTGTTTATGCTTCTCAAACGTTTGACTATGGTAAAGGAACCAGCGCGGAGCCATCTGGCCTTCTCGTAATGGACACCATTTTTTCACTTAGCATGGCCACAGACGTCTAAATTTAAGCTATTTTCTGTTTAAATTTCATCATTGATATCTTTTTGACATTTTGGTAAAAAAAAATGCGAGCAAAGGTTGTACTTGATAAAGTGAATTTCAATTTTGATATTGGAGTTTCTTTCACGTCATAGCAGATTATGTAAGTGATTTTATGTTAACAAATGTGACGCTAGACATTTTCTTAAGAGATGCATGACTCCTACTTTTATCAGTTTTATCATAACTCATGATTTGTTCTCTAAAATGAGTCTAGCTATGTTTTGTAGATCTTCGAAAAACGTCCGTTTTATATATACTATAAATGTAATACTATTTAGCGGTATTTGGCCTCGAAGGATTTTCTTGTCTCACGTCGAAGTACGAGATGCAAAGCGAGGCGCGAGATTCCAGCGAGACTCGAAACGTTGTTGTTTCACCATCATACAATCGTTGTTTCACGTTCGTATCATCGTGTTTTCTCCATCGTACCATCGCGTTTTCATCATCGTACCATCGTGCCATTGCGCTTTTACCATTGTACCACGGAATGTCGTGCTCCAGGTTTAGCCAATCAAATTTCTTGAATTAGAGGTATTAAAATATATAGTTCCACTGTAGGCTTTATGTTTAAGATTTTATATAAAAACATTTGCAAACCTATTTATGATGAAGTAAAACATCGAACCTCGATTCTAAAACAAAATCTACCGTGGAAAAATATGTGACAAATAATTCATAACAAATGACATGAGACAAATGTGCTTTCTTGTCCCTTAAAAAACATGAGAAAAATGTGCTTTTTTTGTCCCTTAAAAAACTTGATCGGAGCACATTTGTCACACAAATGAGTGTTTTGGGGTAGACATTTGAGGTCCCATTTGTCCCACGTGGGACAAATGCGAACGCATCGGTCTTACGTAAGACAAATGTGTTCCGAGACAAATGTGCTCCTACAGAGCATGCTTGATATTTATCAAGAAGAAAATAAAACAGAATGTGAAAAATATTGATCTTAAATGTAACAAATTGAAAACAAAGTAGTATTTTGATATCCACACAAAATGCTTTTCCACTATAATTGTACTATTGCCAAAAAGCCACATAGGCGGTAAAATGGTTTACGTAATTGGCCAATTTTTTTTAGAAATTTTAACAGGGCAACAAAAATTGAATGCTTGTGAAAATTTAAGATTGAATCATTTACGGGTCATGATGAGCCATAATATTACAGATTGCAAGCTTAAAAATTTAAGTTTTACAACTTGCATGATGAATTATTTTGTATTACAACAAATTACATCATCTAATTAAAGAAAATCAAGTAGAATAATATGTATTTCAACTTGCAGATTAAATCATTATATGTAACAGCTTGCAAATAAGATAATTTAAATATCACAACTTGCAGATTGAATATTGTCGTACAACTTGCTGGTTAAATAATTCAAGTATTGCAACTTGTCTGTTAAGTAATTCAAGTATTGCAATTTGTCGGTTAAATGATTCAAGTATTGCAATTTTTCGGTTAAATAATTGAAGTATTGCAACTTGCCTCTTAAATAATTTAAGTATTGCATCTGCTTGTTGAATAATTCAAGTATTGCAATTTGTCGGCTAAATAATTCAAATATTGCAACTTGCCTGTTAAGTAATTCAAGTAATGCAATTTGTCGGTAAAAATAATTCAAGTATTGCGATTTGCCTGTAAGATAATTTAAGTATTGCAACTTGCTTGTTGAATAATTCAAGTATTGCAATTTGTCGGCTGAATAATTCAAGTATTGCAATTTGTCGGTTAAATAATTCAAGTATTGTGCACACTTACCCGTTGACTTATTGAAATGTTGTAACTTTCCGGTTAAATTATTCAAGTAATGAGTAAAATTGCCGGGTAAATAACTCAAGTATTGCAATATAAAAATCTTGAAACAAAGTGATCCCTCGGAAGCATTAATCACAACAAAATTACATAAGAATTGCAGACTCGGTTTGATTGAGTCTGAACATGAGGGATACTGAATAAGTGCAACATCCCCCACACCCCCTAGCCGGGGGTTAAATGTCGGTTAAATAATTCAAGTATTACAAATTGCAGTATGAATTATTTTAGCATTGCAACTTTTGGGTTAAATTATTCACATAGTACATTAATTACCTTCTATATTAATTTATATTATACATTGTATTATTTAAGTTAAACTGCTTTCAAGTAAAAAGGAAACGTTCATGTTTTTATTAATTTGTCTACTTTCAATGTAACTTTCTTAGAATTTTAACCTTCACGTTAAATTATTAAATAGTAAAAATTTGCAATTTTAAAACTTATAATTATTTTTTCGATTCAATGCTATTCGAAAATCTGTGACGGGTGTTTGACTCACCATATCAAACTTGTATCATAGTTCGGGGGCTTTTCTGTTGAAAATATGTCAGAGTTTTACGTACACATATACATGCACAGTGCGTTAACTGGAGTGCAGGTATTTAGTTACCCGCACTTCAGAGCATGCCCATTGATTGGTTAATTTTTGATTGGGTTTACTTATTGTGACGGCAGAGAAAAGTAAAGCGACAGAAATATCATTTTCAGATGCTCGTTCATTGGTTCCTTTTTTTCTTGGGTTTCATATTGTGACACCAGGGAACGTGTTTTTATGTTTGACTATGATATAAAAGAGAAAGAACATCAAAACACTCGGCAATCTGATTAATACTCGGGGGCTGCGCCCCCTCGTACAAATCAGATAGCCTCGTGTTTCGATGCTCTTTCTATTACTTACCTTTTGTTATTTTGTATATTTATAGGTCACATGGTAATCATTATGTAGAGCATTTTGAAAGTCAACAATAAGCATGATCAATACTAGTCAATAGAAATATCAAAAAATGACTGATGACGTAGACGGGGCTTTATTCTCACGTATCCCCAGTAAACAGTGTGATCTTGACCATCCGTCATTAAAACCAACTGAGCAAGACTTCGTAGACGGTGCTTTATTCTCACGTATCCCCAGTAAACAGTGTGATCTTGACCATCCGTCATTAAAACCAACTGAGCAAGACTACATAGACGGGGCGTTATTCTCACGTATCCCCAGTAAACAGTGTGATATTGACCTACCTGCATCGAAATCTAATAAGAAAGACAATGTGGACGGGGGCGTTGTTTTCAAGAATACCCAGTCAGAAAGATGCGTCAGGGCGAGAAAAACGACCGAAAGAAGTAAATATACGGAGAAAGATGGCGACAAGGATACATTGGAATGTACAATTAGACCTGAAAGATTGAGTGACGATGACAATATTGAAGCTGCATCAAAACTGTAATGATCCATTGATCAATAAAGATAATATAGATATGAAGAAGGGAGAGGAGGGTAATAGTTCATCAAGTAGTTTATACCCAAGTGACCAATCAGATGGTATACAAGGTTCTCGTACTCATTTACACGAGCTTGATGATGAACCGCAAATATTGCGCAAAGCTCTTCAACGTTCTACACGCAGCCACCTTCAAGTGATAATTTAAATAATGACCCTGTATCTGAACAGAATACTTCTCAAGGCAACGATGTTTCATTTTATGTTGAAGGCAATGAAGAAGATATCGCTGGATCTTCAGAGTTAAACCATACAGGGCAGGATGAAAGTTACACAGGTAACAACAAAAGTTCACAAAAGAGCTTATAGAGATGCCTATACTTATTGACGCACAAACTAGAAGCTATCAAACTGAACAAACTGCCTCGAGGAAACACGTGACGATTGTGAATTCCCCAAAGGCGACAAAGCCGGCACCATGTTGCAACTGTACTTGTTGGAATGTTACAAGGCATTAATATTTCCTATTGTGTCGCACTAATAGTTTATTTCTGGGACATTGGATCGGATATTCGTCTTGCTGTTAGCTACAAGGAAAATGGTAAAAATACATTTTATTTGTCGATTGGTTGCATTAATATCAAAACACAATAATTTGGTACTCTACACAAATCAGTTAGCTCAGTCATGCATAAAATCGTGTTAATTTAGAACAATAGCAATTCATTTAATAACCGGCTTAGTTAACATTAATGAAGCATAAATCGTGGGATAAGTTTGCAAAACACTAGCGCAGTAACAGGTTTCTGGCTGTTTATATGTCGAAATTCATAAACTATAACCTCAAAATAGATCAAAAAATGAAAATAAAAGAACCTTTTATTACACGATGATTTAACGTACACGTTTATGTATATTTTATTTTATTTTATTCTTAAGTTATATAAATATTATGTAAAAGTGTAAAAAGAAACAACATAATATACCTGTGTGTCTTGCTTCGATTTTTTGTGATCATTGTTTATTGAAACTTGAACAGGAGACATTGACTTGTTTTGGATCACGTTGGCTTGTATAGTTATTCCACATGTTCTGATGGCCATCGTTGATGTATCGTGGGTGTGGCTTGACAGAAAGAGGGGAAAGGCACAAACATGTAGAATAATTCTGGGATTTTTAACATTAGGACGAGTTGTTCGGTGAGTTTATTAATCTCTAATCTAAATTACTATCATATGACATTCAGCTATCAACTATTCACCTAATGTAAGACGCGATAATTATGATAATACACAATGATTATTTTATTCCACTTTTATATGAAATGTTGAAAGCATAAGGATATATGGTAACATGTTACTAAAAGATAAACACACCTACATGAATAAGTAATTTAAAATAAGATTATGCATCTTTACAGCGTGTTGATAAAGATATAATTATTATTATTTAGTTGGTTTGGAGAAGAGATAATGTTTGACATAATTCTTATACCGTAACCATGGTAACGTAATTCTTTATTATGCCTTTATTCCAGTGCTTGCAACTATATTCACCAGATATACAAAGTAAAATGTATTCCAAAGAGCAACGACGGAGAAATAAATCGTGACGGAAGTACACGAAGATGGCATAAAGCGCGTGCTCGGGAAGAAAAGAGGGATTGTTTCTTCTTAGACTTTATTAACGCTTTCATGGAATCAGCGCCACAATTGTTTGTCCAACTCTACTTATATTATGCTTATGATTTAGAACTAACTTTTATCAGAGGTTCGTATACAAACAATTGTCAGATAATAACTGTATGATGATTAGTGTTTCAAATAACGCATGGTCATATTACAAAATATAGTAATTTGTTACAACCTTTTGAACATTTACCTGTATTAAAAAAGGAAAAGGATCGCGATTTGTGATGTTTTTGTTCGGTCAAAATAAATCCTCGACATAGTGTTAGTCAACTCCGATTTTACAGAGTTAACATATTGTCGTGACAAAAATATCTGTATGCAACACATTGTTATTTATATTTCTTAATAATTAAATCTTTTGGGTTGTTTGCCAGTTTATTTTTAATTAGAATTTTTTTAAAAAAAAAATTTGTTACCGTATCATTATAATATTTTTTACATTTGCCATGCTTATTATATCCCTTGATCATATATCGCCTTGTAGCACATACATTATTTTTAATGTTTTCAGTTATAAATCTGTTGTCATCATGGATCAAGTATTGCTTGGACGTTATGCAGCATATTATCGAAGCAATAGAGAAGTTATAGCAGGGAAACAAGATGTCAAGTTTTTAGGATTTGCTTTCTTCTTTTGTTCTGTTCTGTCAGCATTGCAGCGAGGGTTCATATGTACGGCATTATTTCTAGTCAATTATTATACATGGATCGGCGGATTTATGTTTATTTGTACATTTCTTCGTCCATGTTCTTATGGATTAAATTCAAAAACGCCCAGCGCTTGAGGGAACCATTAGTGAGACGTGGTTTTGTGGGACGCTTTTTGTATTACGTGTTCTTTGCTTATGTAAGCATTTTATGCTTCATGACTTTGAATAACACCAAGGCGAGAAAAAGAATGATTGTTTTTTATGTAGTAATTTATTATAGAAAATACGTTAATGCAGTTTTCTCGTTTTCTTAAGATAAACTGAAAATGAAATTGAACCTATAAGGTTGAAACACCTATCCTAGTACTTCCGGTCGGTTTTATACTACATGTTATTTTACTATTGATTTATTATCTGTTTTTACACCCTAAGCGACTTTGTAATAATTGTAAATCATCATGCGTCTGTAACAGCTAAATTTTTCTACAATAAATTGTATTGAAAAATTATTGATTGAAACAAAGAATGTCTAC